CACCCAGGGATCCCCCGTTTTAATATTTCAGCATATGAGTACCTATTCCTCTGTTGTTAGAATAAACAGACCTTCATCCTGGAGGCTCCAGTAAGACAAGTGTCACAAATTCCATATAATGAAGAGTTAGCGGGTATCTCACACGGTGTTTTTTGTTCCGTCTGACATTCTGTAGATGAAAAACCTATTCATACTGATTTGAGTTTAGGGTACGTCTATCTCCAACTACAGTAGAATAGCTCATAGCCGATGAAGACTGGTACTGAGAATGAGAAAAGCTGGAGAAAATACAATCAGCCACTAATCAGTCCGTAGGCAAACTGGAGAGCTGTCAAGGCACTTAAAACACAGAGGCCAGGGATCCCTGGGTGGCGCAGCGGTTTAGCGCCTGCCTTTGGCCCAGGGCGTGATCCTGGAGACCCGATATCAAATCCCACGTCGGCCTCCCGGTGCATGGAGCCTGCTTCTCCCTCTGCCTGTGTCTCTGCCTGTCTCTCTCTCTCTCTGTGACTATCATTAAAAAAAAAAAAAAAAAAAAGTTTAAAAAAACAAACAACAACAACAAAAAAAAACACAGAGGCCAGTGAAAGTCAGCCACTAAGAAGAAGCAGGCTCTCCTCTATTTCCATGGGTTGGGGTGTGGATGGCAAAATAAAGAAGTAAAAAGGGGTGCAGGGGTGCAGGGTGCCAAGTCAGCTAAGATGCGAGGAGACAAAATCCCCGAGGAAAGACAATCCTAGAGGGGAGAACCTGTTGCATGGTTTTGCCTTTAAGGCGTTTCCCAATACTTGAGCCATTCCGGGTGGAAGGCTCAGAGGCTGAGAGCAGGTTGTGAAGATTGGTGCTTCTGGTGGCGTTCAGCCAAGGATGTGCAAAGGAGGAGAGGCTGTAGGAAATAACCTAATACTGAGATACCTGAAAAATGACACCTTAGGAGAGGGGCTGAGCCAGAGATACACCTGGTCTCAGAGACCAGAGATTGCAATCCTGCCTTCACCTGCTCTGTCCCTTCCTGCAAATGTAGGGTGACCCAGACAATGACCACTGAAGCAGTAGCAAGAATTACAACTCCTTCTTCTGGAGGAATGATAGAAACTAGAGGAAAATACGATGACATGTTTAAAGTGCTAAAGAAAATCCCAGCACCCTGTAGGCAACAGCACATCCTTCAGAAAAAGATTGCAAAATAAAGACATTTCCAAATAAAGAGAAGCAGAGAGGCTTCATTAAGAGATCCACAAAATGATTAGAGTTCTTCAGGAAGAGAAAGACAGCAGATAAAAACATGGAAATATAGGAAAGACTGAAGAGCAGCAAAAATGGTAATTATTGGTAAATGCAGATGAATATTTAAGTGTATGAAACAAGAATAATGTCTTACAAGGTATGGAGATATACATGTGCACACACACATACATGTGTGTGTGTATATGTGTGTGTGTGTATATATATATATATATATATATATATATATATATATATATATAGCAGTAGGTGGAAAGCAGTAAATGTTTAATTTAAATTAGGTTTTAGGGGCCCTGGGTGGCTCAGTGGTTGAGTGTCTGCCTTCGGCTCAGGTTGTGTTCCTAAGGTCCTGTGAGCAAGTCCTGCATCAGGCTCCCCACAAGGAATGTGCTTCTGCCTATGTCTCTGCCTGTGTCTCTGTGCATCTCTCATGAATAAATAAATAATTTTTTTAAAAAATCGGGTTCTATTAGGTGAGGGATAAATGGTATAATAAACATATCTGATTAATTCAAAAGAGGCAAGAAACAAGAGAAAAAGGTATATAAAACTTGTGAGACCAGTAGAAAGCACATGTTAAGATGGCAGATATGAATCCAATATATCAGGAATTTCATTAAAAGTAATTGGCTTACATATTTCAGAGATTATCAGGCTACATTAAAAAAACTATATACTGCTATAAGAGATAAAAACTGAATATAAACACAGAAAGGTTGAAAGCAAAAGGATGAGAAAGATTTACTACGCAATACTAACCGCAAATAACTGATACCACCACACTAATATCATATAAAAACTAAACTTTAACACAAGCAGCTTTGATAGAGATAATGAAGGGCCTTTCATAAGATAAAAGGGTCAGTTCACCATAAAGATAAAATAATTCTAAATTTATGTCCCTCTAGTAAACGAGCTTTAAAATGTATTTAAGGAAAAAAAAACCTGACAAATAAGAAAAAATACATCTGTAATCATAAGACTTTATCATCTCTCAGGAAATTATGAGAGGCAAGTAAGATAATAAGGATACCAAAGATCTGAAAACCATGATTAAGAAACCTGACCCAGTCCACATAATAAAGCACCCAGTAACAGAGTACATATTCTTCTCAAGCGGACATGGAACATTTATAAAATTGGCCATCTGCTGGTTTACATAATGGATGTCTCCACTAATTTCAGACGGCTTAAAACTATCTGTGTTTAATGATCATGTGAATTAGATGAGAAATAATTTTTTTAAAAGATAAACTAGAAAGCCTCCAAATGTTTAGAAATTAAGCAATTTACATCTACATAACTCATAGATTTAAAAAAATCACAATAGAAGTTAGAACATGTTTTGAAATAAATGAAAATAAAACAAATAGCCTTTTCAAAAGCAAACGAAGAACCAAAAAAGGCTGAAAAATCAATGATCTAGGAAATGTCTCAAGATCCAAAGAAAATTGAATAAATATGAGCAGAAATGAATATAATTACTTGAGCCTTGAGCCTAACTTCTTTAAATATAAGAAGCATTTTTGACAATCTTAATAATATATTGACTTTTCTAGGAATGTACGTACTATGTAAACTAGGAAAGAGGATACTCTTATTTTGTTCTAAATTTTACCATCATTTAAGAAAATCACATCACCAGTAGCAAAACTATTCACGGTACATGAAGTTATTGTAGTTAGTGACTCTCTGGTGCAAATATCTGAGTATTTCACATACTGAAATATTTATTACTTTATTACAAATCACTTTTTTTCTATAATAAGATTAGACATTCCATACTATGTTGAATAAAGTATGTATTATATATGTAGATTTGTTATACAGATAGGTTAATTTTTTTAAAAAGATTTTATTTTTCATTCATGAGAGACACACACACACAGAGAGAGAGAATGAAGCAGAGACACAGGCAGAGAGAGAGGCAGGCTCCGTGTAGGGAGCCCGATGTGGGACTCGAGCCCGGGGCCACAGGATCACGCCCTGGGCTGAAGGCGGCGCTAAACCGCTGAGCCACCCGGGCTGACCCAGATAGGTTATATTATCTGTGAATTTCATTTCAGAATAGTAAATAAAACATTAAAAAATACTCTTTACAGAATGAGAATATGGGTCTGGCAGGTTTGAAAACCACTAGATTTGATGATTTTTAAGACCATTCCAGTCTTACCATTCTGAGATCTTAAGCATCCATCATTTCTTAGAATAGGTTTGACATATTTTGCAAGTAGTGTGTGGCAGGCACTGTATCTGGAACAGTATCTCACTTAAATCCAATAACCCTTATAATAGATACTATTATCATTATTTATATGAAGGAATAAATTCAGAAAAGTTAAATAATTTGCCCAAGTTTACCTATCTAGGAGGTCTGATTCCCAAATACATGTTCTTTTCACTCATTATCTCCAACAGAAAGTAAGTAACATATTACTTTAGATAGAAAAGTTAAATATTCTGTGTACAGAATAAGCAAGCTTGTTAGGCCAGTATAAACATTTACCCTAGGTGTGGAGCCCAATGCGGGGCTCGAACTCACCACCCTGAGATTAAGACTTGAGCTGAGACCAAGAGTCCGACGCTTAACCCACTGAGCCACCCAGGTGCCCTGAGAGCAGGTCATTTTTTTTTTTTAAAGTCAGGACCAGGGGGATCCCTGGGTGGCTCAGCGGTTTAGCACCTGCCTTTGGTCCAGGGCACGATCCTGGAGTCCCGGGATCGAGTCCCCCGTCAGGGTCCCATGTCAGGCTCCCGGCATGGAGCCTGCTTCTCCCTCCTCCTGTGTCTCTGCCTCTCTCTCTCTCTGTATATCATAAATAAATAAATAAATCATTAAAAAAAAAAAAAGGTCAGGACCAATGACGGCAGTTATAAATGGGTAACACATTTAAAAATATGTTAGAGTAAGTTCCGAGCCACGCAAAGTTCACCAAAACAATTTTTATTTCCAGTGTTTAATTGGGTATGCACACAGGCATGACACAGGTTTGGATTCATTAAGTCCTCATGCAGAATTATATTCTTCTCGATAAAGAAGCCAGTTCCATCCAGGTCACTATCTACACACCTATGTTACAACATTTATATCAAATCTGGTATCTGAAGAAAAGATACACATATAATATGTTCATTTAAGTTACGTATTTTACAGAAAGATTAAAAATTCAAGTCACACAAAACTCATAAACTGTATTAAAAGTTTGAATATAAAACTCAGAGATCCACCTGGAATGACGAAGGAATGCAAGTTCCGTATCCACCTGTGTTAAAACTGGTACATGTAATGAAATTTGTTACCAATAAAATGCATTCATTTATTCAGTGTAAGTTCTCTAATTTCAACAATATGGCACCCTAATAACCAAATGGATTTTTATGATGAGGCACTTTTGTTAGTGATGAAACCAAAAGAACAAATTTGCTGCACACTAATGCCAGCTATTTGCTTCGGCAATCTTGGGTATACACTGTGTCCTAAGTTGCAACAAATATCTTGCTCATTTGTGTACAACTATCCAATATATTTTTAAATATATATAAGTATATACACATATATATGTATATATGTGTGTGTGTATGTACGTATATATACATATATATGTGTATATATACGTGTGTGTGTGTGTGTGTGTATACACATACCTTTATGTTCTTCTGGCTGTAGTAATGCACTGTAAAGCTATTCCACAGTGCAAAATGATGAAACCAGCCCAAATGAAGGCTGCATAATAACAATTCTGGTACGAGAAAATATTTACAGCGTCACTGGAACGTGTAACAGTAGCTTCTTTCTTTGCTCTGGTGGCCGTGCCGCAGTCTGCAGACAGGGCTGCGCCTGTGCTTTGCTGCCTCGGGTTCCGGGCACGTGACGGACGGGGCTGGGCGTTAGAGCGCCGCGGAGCTGGCGTCGGGGCTCGCGTTCTGGAAGCTCCCTCGGCGGACGCGGTCGGGCGGCCTGGGCGGCCTGGGCTCCCCGGGCTCCCCGGGCTCCCCGGCGCTCGGGCCGGCGCTCGGGCCGGCGCTCAGGTCGGCGGCACTGGCGCGCAGGCGCTCCCGGGCCAGCCAGTCGGAGATGCAGAGGTCCCGGGCGGGGCACTTGGGGCGCAGGCGCGTGACGGCCGACAGCTCGGGCTCCCTGTCGGCGCCCTGCTCCTGCGCCTTCCAGAAGCCCAGCACGCTCAGGTCGGCGGCGTCGCGGTGCCCGCCGAGCGTGTGCCGGCGCCGGATGTTCTTCCGCTTGGCGGCCTCGCCCGCCTTCTGCGGCCCCAGCGCGAACATGTCGTCCGCCGGCGCCCTGGGCCGCAGTTTCAAGCGGTCCGCCAGCCTCGTCCTCCAGGTGGGCTCCTGGCGGTCCGGCTCGGCCCTGCCCGGCGCCAGCAGGCTGCCCGTGGACCTGCCCTTCTTCATGACGTCGAACACCTTGGCGAGGGCGGGGGCCTCCCGGTCGCCGCGGGCGTCGGCCAGGCTGCCGCCGTCGGACCGCAGGCGGCCGGACTTCCTCCGGGACAGCGTGTCGCACTCGATGAGCTTGTGGGAGCTGAAGAGCTGCCGCCGGCTGTCCAGGCTGGGGGTGCGGCTGCCGTCCGTGCCGCTCGGCTCGCTGCCCTCCGAGCTCCTGCGGCTCGCCCTGCCGGCCTCGCGCGGCCGGCCTCGGGGGCCCCGGTCCGCGGCCAGGGCGGCGGGGAACACGGGGAAGTCGCTCTCGCTGTCCGTCTCCACCGGCCGGCCCTCGCTGACGAGCTCGCTGCGCTCGTCGTCCGCCTCGTCGCCCCTGCTCTCGGCCACCGAGCGCACCTCGGGGCTCAGCCGGCCGGGGTCGGGGCCCGTCAGGGACGCGGCGGACGGCGCGCGGGCGGGGTCTGAGGCGGCGGCGCCGAGCTGCGCCGGGAGCTCCGCGCCGCCGGCTTCCGGGCTGCCGCGTTGCCTGGGGCAAGGCCTGGCGAGGGCCGCCTGCGGGGAGGCGCCGAGCCGAGAGCCCGCGTCGGACCCCGCGTCTCCCGGAGGCGTGGGCCTGGGGGCGCCGGGGGGCCTGGGGCTCTCTCCCGGCGGCGGCGGCGGGAAGCGGCGGCCCGGGGACGGCGACTTCCGGGCTCTCGCGCTCTGTGGCGGTGACGGTTCCCCGGACGCGGCGCGCTCCTTCCTTTCGTCTTTGGCGGCACCCGAGTCCTTCTTGGCGTTGCCTTCTTTGGAGACGACGGTCCTGTGTTTCCTGCTCGCCGCCTCGCTCTCTCTTTTGGATTCCTCTCTGATGTCGCTTTGAGCCTGTTCCGCGCTCTCTTTCTTAAGAAACACATTGTCCAGTTCGTCCTCCGAGCTGCTGGGTTGTGTCTTTTCTTTCGGCTTCTTCCTCTTGCGACTGGCGGCTGCAAAGATGGAGGACACAAGCAGCTCCCTGCTATACTGATCTTTTCCAGATCCCCAAGAACCCTGAGAGAAATCAGAGAAATCAGACTATGAGCGCAGGAACGTGACCGGGCCGTCTTCTGAAGAGGTGTCCCCCGGGACGCTCCTTACTGAGTGAACGCTCTCGGCTCCGGAAGCCCCAGGAGCGCGCGCTTCTGCCCTCCTGGGAACCTGTCCGGGAGTGACCACTGCCCACTAGTTCCGCTCCTCGGCAGGGCAGCCGGTGGCAGCAGGCCGCCAAGTCCCAAGTCCCAACTCCTATTCGTCCACCCGCCTCTCTCGGGGACAGAGTCTGAGCCTGGAGCTATCCAGGGCTCCTCCTACTCGAGGGCATTTCCCTGCACCTACTGACTACACTTCCCCTGCTTCTGGGAGGCTCCGCCTTCCTCGGATTCCTGACTCTGGAACGCAAGTTGGAGAGTTACTATCCTGACGTGGCCGAGTGTGATATCCTGACACAGGTTACTAGAGTCGTACGACTGGCTTCGATTTTCCAATTAGGGACACCGTGTGATGCACATATTGTAGCAGATAAACTCACTGAGGGAACTCTTTGGTCTTCCGTTAGTTCAGCCAGACCGGATCTGCAGACTTGCCTTGGGCAAATCAGGTTGGTAAGGTCTCATTATCTCAAGGTTAACAATGAGATGGGAAGATTCAAACAACTGAAGGTCAACTGAATATCTTAAATCCTTACCAGAGAAGCACTATCGCTGACAGAGTTGGAGTGAAGGCCACTGGACTGGCTTCGTTAGCTATGGGTAACCGGTTCTTGGTGACAACTATTTAATTAGTGTGCTCATGATGCCTATCTGTCAAGTAAATGATGGCGGTGGGAGTCAATAAACACTTGCTGGTTAACCACAGGCCGGGTAACACAAGCGGGAAGGCAGGAAGTATGCCCAGTAATAGAAGCAGAAAGCGTATTTCTCTACGGTCGTCAGCATCTTAGACGGACTGAAACTATTGGAATCTTGAAAAAGTAAAAACTTAGGCTGTTGCGTTAAAAAGGATTCACCAAAATGAAATGGCAGATCAACAGAACTTTGTTTTTACGAGTAAGAAAGGGTTTCCTAAATTATCCGGTATACTTCTAATCGGTTTATCCACATTTTAACACCTTCTGTAGAAGACAGACAAAGACGTATAGTAAGAAACATGCATCTAGTAAGAGGGAAGGAGGACATTTCAAACAGGTCGGAAATTTCAAACCCAAGTCTGAAATCTTATCTTCTGGCAAAAAAAGAAAAGAAAAAAGAAGAGAAGAGAAGAGAAGAAAGAAAAGAGGAAAGAGAGAGAGAGAGAGAGAGAAGAAAGAGAAAATGTCCCAGATTAAAGAAGCCCTAAAGAAACATGATAATAAAATGCAAGGAGTGATCCTTAATTGCATCCTGTATAGGGAAATAAAAAACAGTTTACGTTTACATTATTGGGACAACTGGGGAAATTTGTGCAAAAACTCTTTTAGAAATGATAATGTTGTGTTCTGGGTATGGTAATTACACTGTGATTTTACAGGAGAATGCCCCGCTCTCAGGAGATGCATGCTGAAGCATTTAGGGGTAGAGCGTTATCATGTCTATAAGTAACTCAAATAGTCAACTCCTCAAAATTATATATATCAAGATTTACCAAATGATGAATCTAAGGTAAAAGGTTTAAGTGCTATTATTCTTATAACTTTTCCCCAGGTTTAAAATTTTTCAAAATAAAAAGCTGGGGCAAAAAGCCAGTAAAAATCACAGCGTTAAGTGACAGTGAATGATACGATATGACTGGAATATTTTGTAAAATTCCCTGCAAGATTTTATAATTTAATTACATACAACCTCTCACTATGATATTTAAACATGCTATCATTTAAACATGTCTCCTTTTCCAACAGAACAATAAACTGTAAGAAATTTATTGACAATTCTAGCCGCTACTATCTCAGCAGATCAAAGTTCGGACAAGTCAAATTAATAAAAAACTTTCTAAGAGTAAGAACTTCCCAAAACTACTCAAAATGTGTAAATGGTGGTGTTGTCAATCGAATTTTACAAATTATGGAAAAATACTCATTTTGCTGAAAGAAAAGCAAGAATATAGGTTTTCATAAGAATGTCTGATGGTAACAAAATCTATTATTACTACTGAAATATTTACAGATGAAATATGATGCTTGGGGTTTGCTTCAAAGTAATCCAGGGGGAGGCATGTGAGTGAAGTGCACATGAAACAAAATGGCCAGCCACATGTTAATTGTTGAGAATGGATAACGGTTGCATGGGGACTCATTTTACTATTCTCTCTGTTTTTGTATAGGTTGGAAAATTTTCACATTTAAGAATGAAAAAAAAGTGTCTACTCCTTTGTATTAGGCTAAACTATGCCAGGAGAAATCCAACATTCAAGCCCACAATCCAGTATTCTGTCACAGTCTAAGAATTAATTTTTCCCTCTCAACAATTTTGTTGGTCGGTGTCATCAGACACAGAGAGGGATGCACCTGTATCCTAATTGTAACAATCGACTAAAAGGCAACCTCCCCAACCTAAGATATTTCAGAATTGTATGAAACAATTTACCTTAGATTTTGTTGAGTCACTAGTAGCTGAATCTGTTGAGAAGTTAAATAAAACATGGTCAGTATTAGTCAATCTTTATTGCTTCCAACAAACAATGCAAAACTTATGGAAAAGACAGGCACAGAACAAAATGTGAAAGCCAAACTCAAACAAAACAACAGAACACTCTGGATAGTCAGAGCTCACAAAGATGCAAGCTGCACCACAGAAAGCCACCGCCATGAAAGGATGCTGTGAATTGTAGGCAGAATCAGCTCAATGAGAGGTATGGCAAAGGAGCCCTGTACTAAACAAAAACAGAAACACTAGTGTTTATCAAGATTTCTAAATATTAAATCTAGCCATGAAGAAGCTCCAAGACCCTTTTAAGAATTGTACTATGTACCACATCCTGTATCTGGAACTGATACACAATGTAGAACTTTCAAGATGGTTGGCTATCCTCGCTACAAATTGAGACACTTGTACTCGGTGTGTTTAGGTTGATTTTTGTCAGACTGTCAAACGCAAATTTTGTAAACGTAAACTCGCAATGCATCTGGATGCATTAGGTAACCCTGCTTCCAGGTCACTTTGTTTTTTTTTTTAAATAATGCTGATCTTTGTGCTTTAGACCCCAGTTTCATCTCTGTGCAGTCAGGGATCCTTTTGACTAGATTGGTTAAACTGCTACCAGTTTTGTCGTTATCTATCACAAACGCTATTATGGAAATGGAGAAATGGAGACCATAATTTTCACTGTCTGGCAAAAACTCAGATTATACAATTATAAAGAGGGTAGGAAGGGGCTAGCGCTATTCAGGAGAACACCAATTGTGAAATTTTGTCTTTCAACTTGAGGGAAATGGATTTTCAAAATTAATGAGCTGAGCCCCGTGCCACGCCCCTTTGAACACATGGCTAAATGCTTTATGACTTTAAGAACTGGTAGACCATACCATGCTATTTCTCCTCACGGTCTGCTTCAGAAATAACAAGAAACAGCAGAAAAACTTTTAAGAAAGTAGTATTGATCTGTTTACAATAATCCTTAAGAGAAAATTTACACCACAGATCAACTAGGTTTTGCATTTACAAGAATCGGGGGTTTCTGCAGACCAGGCAGCTACAGTGAGGACAGCAATCCTCCTTCTTCCTACAGCTCCAGCTGTCCATCAGGGCCACCACAGAATCCACTAGCGACATTACCGTGTGATAGACTCCTCCCACTTCGCCTGTTCAACATCAGTATAGATTTGCCTGTGTCAGTTAGTGCTGAAAAAACCCTTTAGGACTCAAACAAGAACTAGAGACAAAGGGAAAAGAGCGTGTAAAACAACATGCTAGGTTTAGTGCAACAGTTTGGCAGGAGAAAATTGTCAGTAAAAGAGCCTATGAAAACCGCTACTTAACCAGACATTAGGGCAGCAAGAGAAAACAGAAGAAAATGTCAGATAAGATCGGCTTTTACTGTGAACTCTATAGTGACAAATAATATACTGTTATTTATGAAAATGGTGCCCATTAGCAGTTCAACATATTTCACTTGCTGCTTTTAAACAGAACATCTAGCTCAGGAGTAAGAACTACTTATACAGTCTAGATCATACTTTCTGCCATCACAGCAACCACATATTCAGTAGCATATATCTGTTTTACCTTGTGATGACTATTACATGGAAACTGTGAATTAAAAAAAAAAAAAAAAAGAACAAAACAGTGGTTTGCATGCTCAGTTCCCTCAGATTTCCATTCTGACAAGCATTACAATTCCATGCACTGCCAATGGCATTATAGTCACTGGAAGATAATTAAGATCAATCAGAAAAGGAAGATCAAGTTTTTTTTATTAGTAGAAAGGAAAAAAAAAAGAAGAAAAGGAAAAAATCATAGTGAATTGTTATTTATGATTGATTTGTTCTTTCAGGTTACAAGGATTTAGCTTAACCTAGAAATCAATACTGCCCAGGCAAGAGTTACCTGATACATCTCCAGGGGAGACTCCTGTCCTTCCAATGTTGGTGAGTAAATGATCTATGTTTGGCACTGGCTGGGAGTCTACTGTGTTTTCCTCCTGCACTGTTGTCTATGGTTAATAAACAAAGATCTCTTCATCATCTCTTCAAAGATACTTTCTTTAAAATTCAAACAACATTTAGTAGAAGACACATTACCGAGTGGAGCACAGGTGCTTAACTTTTTACATTGGTTACATAGAATCAGTTAACTACAAAATAAGCATCATACTTGTATTTTCATTAGACCAGAAATGGAGGAGCTATAGACCTGCTTCCGGGGTGCAAAGCGGACAATAGCATACAAAGCAGGAAGTTGACATTGTTGGAGCATCAGGAGCTTGTGTCCCGAATGCAAACAAGTCAGTACAAAGGCTGACAGACGATACTTACAAGAGGTTCTTCCACTCCTTCTTCTGTGAAAAACCAGTCATGCTAAAATTTAAAATAAAAAAGGTGAAAAGAGAAACTAAAGAACCCCCTACATAGATCTATATTTTGGAGAATATAGGAAAAAAAAAAAGTTGTTTTCTTAGAAAAAAAAATTCTATCCAAATTCTGTCCTACCAAATACCAGCTGCTCACAAAAGTTATTTTCTTGACGAGATGAAGCCTGAACTTACATGCTGGATAAGCGTCTCCACGATCTTGTATTGGTCTGGCATGTGAGTGACCATATGGGTCATGTTGTCTTCGGATGTTCTCACAAGAGTTGGACCAAAAACTATTGCTAGGTTTCTTGGTTCCATCTGGAACAAAGGATGTCATTGAAAGATATCAGAATTTTTCTTAAGAAAGTAGATTTAAATTCCCATTGCATATTTGCCATTTTATTTCTGAAAGGTTCTTTTGATGAAAAAGAATTCAAAGAAGAATGGTTGACCAATTGTGTATGAAAAAACTAATGTTTCCTAGTTAGGCTTTCTATTAGCTAATCTACACTTAACATCTTTTTTGTGCTTTAATGACAATGTACTGTACTTAATTGGCATTCATTTGTCTCATGAAGACTTTGAAGACAAGCAATTGATCTGGTTCAAACTAGTATTATAAGAGCTGCATTAATTGACAAAAATATTAACATCAAAGGGAAAAAAACTCACAAAAGAATAGCGTAACCCTCTCCTCAAAAACTTAAAAAAAAAAAAAACTAGAAAAAATGCTTAAACACATATAACATTTTCCAAATTTGCCCCCTTAGTACATCAAAAGTGCTAATATTTAAAAACATAACATCCAAAAATACTCTTTTTGACTAATTTTTACTTCAACGAAAACTTCCAAAGCTCTTTGCTTATCCTTGTGTGGATCTGAAACACCTCAGGATAACATGCTTATACGTTGGGATGTTCATTTCCACACCATTTTGTATTCCTTGTTTAATTACACAATTATCAAAGGTATAAATTCTTTGTTTTCCTTTGTTGTATCTTAGAGTGTCTAGTGTAATATTTTGAACTCAAGATTTGATTAAAATGTCAAATAGCTTTAACCAACGCTGGAAACATACCAGAGGGTTAAAAAAAAAAAAAATCACTGCAGAAATTAAAAAGTCAAACTGGTTTAGGGAAGCACACTACTATACTATTTTGGAAGAGCCATGGGCATGCCCGCATGTGTGCGTATACACATTTTAGGTATGGTGCAAAGTGGAAAATGCACAGATCTCCCATTCTGAAGCAACTGTTATGCATCTAATATGTTAGCTACCTTACTATATGCATCATTACATGGTGCTTATGACAGAGTTATAGGGAGAAATTGTGGTCAAAGTCAGTATTTTCTTGTTTTTTTTTTTTAAGATTTTATTTATTTGTTCATGACAGAGAGAGAGAGAGGCAGAGACATAAGCAAAGGGAGAAGCAGGGTCCCCATGGGGAGCCTAATGTGGGACTTGACCTCAGGACTCTGGGATCATGACCTGAGCCAAAGGCAAAGGCTCAACCACTCAACCATTCAGGTGCCCCTAAAGTCAGTATTTTCACAGAAAGTTGACCTAGAGGAAAGTAAATCTACCTTACAGGAAAGGGTGACTTGAACTGAGTACACAGGAATGTTTTTTATTCTCCCTCTGGAAGATGTCATCTCATTCTTACATCTGTCCTGGTAAAAGTGGCTTACAAAGTCCATTTCAAAGGTCTTAAGCAAAATTTTTACTAGGTTCTTGTCTACTATGATTTCATTTAGGTTTGTAGACTAAGGATAACACATTATTATTTATATGTATACAGTCATATTTATTATGTGGGTATACAGTTTTAGCTGGCTCCTAAGTAAAACTAATAACATAAGTAGTTCACCATTTATTTACTCATCAATTACTTTAGGCAAATTCTGTATTTTTTGAAAGATGCTCCACAAGCATAGTCAAATAGGTAGGAAAATGAAATGCCCTTAGCCACTTCCTCAAGAGTCACAGTGTTAGTTAATTTAGTAAAGCCATGAAAACATTTCTACTGTTATATTTTAATTCAGTGCCTTCTAAACTAATTAGATCATCAAACGCTATGTCCCACGCATTGCTAACATCCAGCAAAAGTGATGAATGAGGAAATGCACTTTGGGAAATGCTGAAATAATTACAAAATATTTCAGCTATAATTATGTTGAGAATTTTTTGGATCCCACTGGATGAACTTCTGGAAACAGCACAACTAATTGATATAGGTTTTTTTTTTTTATTCTTTTACTCTCTTTTTGTCCTTTTTCCTTTAATGCCCTATCACTGTTGATGAAATTGAGCATCCAAAGGATATAACACTGCTTGCTGACTCCTCAGTCAGTACTAGGGGTTGATACTGTTCTCATAGTATCAATCACCACAGCTGTGAGCAACTGTCTTCCAGAAGAAGACAGACACTAAACTGACGTGAACAAATGCATTTTTCTCTACCTTACTTAAGCAGGCATGACCCTTAGAAAAAGGTGATAGCAGTGTTTCTGAACTTGTGGTATTTTTTTTTTCCCAGAAGCCAAAATGACTTTGTTTCAATATTTGTAAGTAATGCCCAAAATTCAGAAAATCATTATTTTGCAATCTCTAAAGATATCATGGGTTTAGGCAACAATCACCAATAACGGATACAAATGATGTGAAGTTAAGATTATAACGTATCAACCAAACACAGTGTGTGGACCTTTAGATACTGATTTAAACAAACAAGGGTGGAAAGACATTTTTTGAATTCAATCAGGGGGCAGCCCTGGTGGCTGAGCGGTTTAGCGCCGCCTTCAGCCCAGGGCCTGATCCTGGAGACCCGGCATCGAATTGCATGTCAGGCTTCCTGCATGGAGCCTGCTTCTCCCTCTGCCTGTGTCTCTGTCTCTGTCTCTGTCTCTCTCTCTCTCTCTCTCTCTCTCTCTCTGACTCTCATGAATAAATAAATAAAATCTTAAAAAAAAAAAGAAAAGAAATCAATCAGGAAAAACTGAACATGAACTGAGTATTAGATAATAGTAAGGGACAGCAAATTTTGGTGTGTTTGACAAAGCTGGTGTGATGCTGTTAAACAAACAAGAAGTCTTATCTGCTTAAAACTAAACAAAACAAAACAAAAGAAAATGTCAGTTTCACTGTATACTATTTGGTATATTTGATACATTGTGCAAAAATATCACAAATGTAGAGCTGTAAAATAAGAGAAGTAAAATTCTTCGCTTTTCATTTTTCTTGCTGGATAAATGTAAAAGGATATATCTTTTTAAAATGGTGACAGTTGATATTTTGGGATCTTTTGCTATTAAGATTGATTTTTAAGAGGGGCTGATGGGCCAACAGGATGTATTTTAGAGCTTTTGTTGAATTATAACCCTGGTTTTGATTGATGTGAAGCAATGTAGCCTATCTTTTCAAAGAAACCCACTGAAAGCACATCTCTTCAATAGGCACTTTACACACCTTATTTTTTTCTGAATTTTCTGCCACCGTCTTCAGATGAGCGGAAAGGAACTTCAGAGTTTCATAATGATGTTCGGGCAAATCATGTATCTGAAACATATTATTTTCATGATGGATTTAAAGGCTGAATTTCAGTTGTACCTCCAAAACTACAAAATAATACCTACTAGTCTTTTTAATGTTTTCAGACGGTCTAGAGGATCTTCTTTACGATTGGCCTCAATAAAGTCGGCATATTTATCTGACAACAACAATAAGAACAATAAGACAAGTTTATCTTAAATCGCTTAGATGAGTTATAATCGAGATTTACTTTAAGGTTCGACTTCAAAACCCAATACAAAAACTTAAACATAGGGCTGACCCCAAATAGCTTTTGAAATGTAATCTCCAAAACAGCTATCATTTGTAATGATCTCCAAGCTTTATCATCAAATGAAATTCCCTAAAATGTGAGTTCTCTGAGAGTACCATCCTATATTTAGAGTCTGTCCACTTTTTTGTCCCCCCAACCACAACACTGAGAACAGTGTCTTATGTAAGTTTAGTGTCCTGCTGGACTGAAAAAAAATGCTTTCCTACTAATTGTACTTTATTATGTCTGAAGACTTTTGACAGAAAACAGTATTTTTAACTTCACAAGTAAACATGGATGAACAGGGTACCATATACTTTCATGGTACCTACATAACCTGAACCTACATAATTTTATAAACTTATTTTTCATCCAAATTTATCAGGAGGAAAAAAATCTGAATGACAAAAAAAATAGTGATAATTATGCTTTATATAGAAGTAGCAACTAAACAAAATCTCCCGCTTCCTTTAACCAAATATTAATATTCTATGGCTTTCCAACAATGTAATTTTAAACTATTTCAACTGGTATCTTTTGTGGGCGTTCACTCACCATTTGTGAAGAGAGGCTCAGGGAGTTTTCTGAAGAAGGACTTTAGTAAACTACTTATCACATTCAAATCTCGCCATTTCTAGGTGTGCAAAATAGAAACATGGCAGTTTTGTAGTCAATACCACAAAAGGAGAAAAAAACCCCACAGATCAGGTAATCAAATAGAAATACACACTTACATCATCTTGTATATCAATATCAGCCATCCCCTTGTTGAGTTCTTCTTGCATACTTGAAATGGCTGCATTATTTCCAGGAACTCTATAAATACCTGTATACTCAAGACCTCTTTCTTCAACTAATTTGCAACATATGTCAACTATTAATGGAATATACTGCAAAACAAGAAGTAAATATTTTACTTAATACAGCACAAACGTTTATATTTGTTAGTAGATGTATATTGCAGCTAAGAGGCCCTTTCCATCCAAGAGGAAATAGATAAATTGCTGTTGTTTGATATAGAGAAAATGAAGAATATAGACACTGCAGAACTGGGAATAGATAGAAGCAGCAAGAGAGATCTGGGACAGCGAGAGGAGAAGAGGTAGCACAAGACAGAGAGAGAAGGGTACCCAGGGAGATGAAAATGTGAACAGGAAACAAGGCAAGTCTAAAGTAATGAGAATACGGGAACAATGCAGGTGAATAAAGGGCAATAATAATTGCAATAAGGTGAATAAAGAGAGAAGAGGGAGAGAGAATAATATCATCAACCGCAATCCATGACACGAATCCTAACATGGACGTTAAACACACGCAGGCACACACACACGCACATACACGCACATTTACATTTATTATACTTTCTCAATCAGGTTCTTGTTCTCATCCTTCACCTTCTTTTAAGGTGCTAAAAAGCAGAAACACATATGATTTGAGAATGAACTCTTACTATTTCAGGTACATTCCTAATGAGTGAATCATTATTCTATTTCAGAGTCAATACATTAGAAAAAGATCATTATAGATAAAATAACTCAACACATCCTTACAGGTCAGCAATGCTTAGGGAAGCTGATCTGCTATACAGAGGAAAATGCTGCACAGATTAAAATATATTCTGTGTCATCTGAAGGGTTGTGTACTCAGGTTCTATAAGGACTACAACGAATTAACGATAGGAAATCTGGGTGGCTAGGGTCTCCTACCCGATTGGTATGTGCTGGTGGACAATCATCCAGTCTGACACCGAACGTTCCTGTAGCAGTGGGCTTTTTTTCAAATGTCTTCCTCATAATACTTGGAATACCTTTTCTCCATGTGCCCTTGTCTTTTGGGGGACTGGTATCATCTTTTGATCGTTATGTTAAAAAAAAAAAAGAAGAAGGAAAAGAAAAAACAAACAAGTATGATTAAATCATGACTTCAATATTTATATAAATCAGAGTCCTGTACTATACATGGTATAGCCTATATTTATAGAAAATATTGTATTATATTCTCCTCCTAATATATGACTCCTTTTAACCTCCCATATAATTTAATTGAAATCAGTTATGCTTTTCTGCCCTTTTACAATCTGTATCATGGTTTTCTTTAAAACAGTCAAGAAAATAGGATCTTAATAGTGACATCTTAATAGTGAAATTTTAGCAGAAGGAAACATGATGGTTTTATCTCAAAATAACAGTGCTTGGATCCTCTGTATTAAATTTGTAGTGTCTTTATGTAGATGTAAGTGTTACATTTTCCTTTACTTCATCTTTATCATAAGACAAAGACTCATCTTAAGGAAAAGCCGCATTAGCCTAGACTGGGCCCACGGTGACCTTTGAGCTAGCTCACACTGGGCTGAGGTCAGCAGAAATGGTACAGAAAAACATGAAATACATACAAACATACATTTATTTATTTATTTATTATTTTTTTAGACAGAGAGAGAAGGACAAAGGACATCTTAAGCAGGCTCCATGCTCAGGGTGGAGCCCCACATGGGGCTCGATCTCATGAGCCCGAGATCATGAGCTGAGCCAAAAGCAAGAGTCGGACTCTTAACCAACTGAGCCACCCAGGTGCCCCACGAAATACCTTTAAAATCCCAACTTTAAACCATTGTATTTGTTAAATTTATCCAGAAACACTAGCATCAGTACCTTTAGTGAGAAGTTTCCGTTCTGACTCTTCCTTGGGAGAGTGTGGACTTTGAGTCTTTGGCTCTGATTTAGCACCAAGCAGAGTCTGCCGAATGCTGAGACTCTGGCGAGGTGTTTTTGGCAACTGTTCTGCTTTGCTGCTGAAAGAGATAAACATTTCTTAACAATTATTTATTTTAAGATTTTATTTATTTGACAGAGAGAGTGAGTGCACAAGCAGGGGGAGCTGCAGAGGGAGAAGCAGACTCCCCACAGAGCAGGGAGCCAGATGATGATGTGGGGTTGATCCCAGAATCCTGGGATCAGGACTAGAGCTGAAGGCAGACACATCCAGCCGACTGAGTCACCCAGGTGCTCCAACAATTAGATATTTTACCTCCAAATTAACTTGTAGGCATGGTAGGATTCTCACCTCATCAGACTATTATATTCTTTTATTCTTCGGCTAATTAGATCCCTGTTAGTCACTCCGGTATCCTACAGAACAGACAGGAGGTAAGATTAGAAAGTCAATTTTAAACACAAAGAGGGATCGTACTTTTTTGAGGCTCTTTATTGTATTGCACTGCTTAGCCAATACAGCCCCTATATACTCTCAGTGGAGTTCTTTTAAAAACCCCTGTTCAGCATTGCCACCCAACATCCCTATGTAATAAATGATCCAAGTGCCCTCCGCGCCCCCATCCACTGCCAAAAGAGCTTTCTGTTTATTTTTTGTACCCCTACAATATCCAGAATTAGTATCAGCAAACAGCAGGTGCTTAAATTTATTGATCTGACATTTCTTTATAAATGACTGGGAAGCAGTGGGCCAGTTTTTTTCTAATACAAGAAAGAATGATCAGCATTTCAAAATAATACAGTTGTATAAAAGATGGAAAAATGAGGTCAAGATTTGTTAATGATGAACTTATAGGAGTAGTGAGACAGAGTCATTTAGTGTCAGAAGTGGCACTTACTAGATTATCAGAAGAGAAAAAGCCCAACACTGAGCTTTTCAACCTTACCAGGTTAGCTTTTATAATATGCTATATGGTAAAGTCAGATTTAATCATGAAGTAATGATTTTTTTTCTAATTGGACATCGACATGTATTAACTTTTTTTTTTTTACTTGTTTCATTTTGATTATAATGAACAGTAAAATTTACAAATACAGGCTTTGGAGACAAAGATCTTGAGTTCAAATACTCTTCCTACTTATCAGCTAGGAGATCAAATGGTTAAGATCTAGAGTGAAATCACCTGGGTTTAAATCCCAGCCCTGACACTTAGTAGCTGTGTGACCTTATGGAAATTATGTAGTCCCCCTTTGACAGTGCCCTTGTTTGCAAAATGGTGATGACAGTAATAGGACACATTCATACAGTTGTTGAGACTTATTCATGTAGAACACTCTTACTTTCTCTATTTACTTTGAAAAAATTCAGGTCTGATGCTCTCTTTACAATGCTTGTAGAACAAAGGTTAAATCGACAGGGATCTGATGTTAATTTTTAACCACAAACAAGGTAGGGGATAAACTGTCAGAGAAAAAAGCAGTCATTCTTCCTATGGCCTAAGTTTTCATAATCTGAATTGCACATAATGGAAATGACTATATTATATTAGAGAACATAATTTGCATAGCCTTACAGTAATGTAGGTGTCCCAGTGTCCCGTGAGTTAAGGGAAAAGAACATTGGGCTTCTTTATGTCATAACAATGAGGACAAAAAGTGAGAACAACATGTAAGAAAAACCGCGTTAATGATATGAAAGGATACTCTTGAGCAAAAGCTAGACTTAATCACTGTGGCATTTGATCTGTCAAGTTCATAATTACATACACTGTTAGCACTACATTATCAACCCCTGTTGTAAAAAAATTACTTGATGGCTGTGAGCCAGAAACTCTCAAGTCCCCAAACATTTCCCTCTTAAAAAGAAAAACTGGCTTTTCACATGATTTCTGAAAATGCAAGTTTTCTTAGAAGCTAGTGACTATATTATAGCAGGCTCTACTGTATTCTTCTTGACTGTGTATCTCCATGAACGAAAATCCTCATACCGTATCTTTTTACATTTACATAGCAATTTGTTTTGATAAGTATTTTCACTATAACTTAAGGCCCACAATAATTCTGTTTCTGTGATAAGGAACCAAATCTGGAATAATTTAGTCATAATGACCAGGATGGGGAACTAGGATTTCCTGATCCTGCTTCTGAGAAAGCATGCAAAATATATGAATTATCTATTTTTGTAGTTCAGTTATGATGATTTTCAAATAAGTGAGTATATTATAAAATAGGTACACTTAAATTTTCCTTTTGATCAATTTTTCAAGTGAAAATAGCATATTTTAATTTTCTAAAATGATGTTTCAGATTCTTTCAGTCTTCCTAAGAAAAAAGTCATGAAAGACTCTAGTTTTACCCACATAACTTTGTACACACACCTCTTCGTTGAGGTTACTGCTCTCCTGGATGGTCTTGATCCATGCTAGCATGTCGTCTCTGTCTTCAGCCTGAAATAGGCATTCACAGTCTGATGTGGTGAGTCGAAACACATTTTTCCTCTTGGTCTCACTATAAGAGATGTCTATTAAGCAGGCATTGACGCTGATGGGCTGTTCTTCCTCGGATGGAGTCATCTGTTCTCTTTTATCTTTGTACAGGTAAAGTGAATGGCCCCGAAGCACAACATACATCTGTTTCCATGGCCGAATGCTTCCACCAACTCGCTGGAAAACATGAAACAGTTCAGGGATGCTTGATGCTTGGCTCAATCCTTGTGACAGGATAAACACATCAAGCAACACTTTAACACACACAAATGTACACCAAGTGTATGTAGTGCGTGTCTGATTCTCAATGCATTTGTTAGAAGAAGAATGACAAACACAGTGGAGGGTAAACCAAGCAAGGCAAGGTATTCATATCGAAATCAAGGATAGTGAAATCTCAACTTTAACTTGGTTGGGGGCAAAAAAACCCGTTTTACTGTTCACAAAGTAATTAAGATAAACTGAATAAAGGCAAAACAAGAGTAGCAAAATATATAAAATATATAAAAACGCTAAGAGAATAGAAAACAGGAAAAAATCCATCAGAAAAATCTTTTGAGGGAGGGTAAGGCTTAAAACAAGTCCCAGCATGCAAATGACAAACACTATGTAACACTCCCAAAACAATACATATGAGTAATGAATTAAACTAACAAAATTGATCAACTTTATATGGTCAAGCAACAATATCCATACCCAAGGTGGGTTTTTTTTTTTTTTAAGATTTTATTTATTTATTCATGAGAGAGAGAGAGAGAGGCATAGACACAGGCAGAGGGAGAAGCAGGCTCCTTGCAGGGAGCCTGACGTGGGACTCGATCCCGGGACTCCAGGACCACACCCTGGGCTGAAGGCAGCACTAAACCGCTGAGCCACCCGGGCTGCCCCCAAGGTGGGTTTTTGTAAAAGTTATACTCTTTTGACAGAACTAAATTTTTTTTATAAATAATCTGCCCACATATTATAAGAAATTATAATATGGCAAAGGTTTTTTTGTATTGAAACCTACTTAATGAAGCATGTAGACATTGTGATATTCATTTACATAACTCAATATTTATAAAATAAAGTTAAGAAGAAATTTATAAAGGCAATTTAAAAGAAAAAACTGGGAAAAGCTCAATTAAAAATCTGAAATTATTAATATGGAGAACTGCCACTCCCTAAAGGAAGATTCTGCGAAAATCTATTGCTAATAAACTATTTAATAAGAAAAGCTGAGTTCTTCTTAAATACTTTGATTTCTCTCTCTCTCTTTTTAAAAGATTTTATTTATTTATTCATGAGAGATACACAGAGAGAGGCAGAGACATAGGCAGAGGGAGAAGTAGGTTCCCTTTGGGGAGCCTGATATAGGACTCAATCCCAGGACCCCGGGATCATACCCTGAGCCAAAGGCAGATAGATGCTCAACCACTAGCCACCCAGGTGTCCTGATTTCTCTATTTTTTTGTTGTTGTTTGCAAAATATAAGACTGTATATTCCATTTGCAGTTGATATACAGAATGAAAAAATATGAAATTAAGTCAACGATTTGAATTTTTTTAAAAAAATAATTTTCCTTCATGTAGAAAAAGTTATTTGGAAGTAATATTTTCCACTCCCTCTTATGAATAATTTGTCATTTAACTGTGCAGACTTTACATGCTATTTTGCAGGGCTTGCAGTTCATCTGCTCGAGAGACCGTACTACCTTGCCCTTGTCGGTGATGAGTGGTCGGAAGTGAAGCCACCCTTCCTTGGCAGCATCGCTGAAAACCTCTGAGGAAGAATCCTTCCTGGACCCAGAGTCTTCTGATGACTTCTGGCTGTCTAAGATCTATAGAAAAAGCCAAGAAAATAGAGTAAGATACCAGCTTTTTCCTTTATCAACATGTGCCCACTAAAATTGCTTTGCTGAAAAAAAATCTTTAATATTCCAAATGAAGGATTATTATTATTTTTTAAAATATTTTATTTATTTATTCATGACAGACAGAGAGAGAGAGAGGCAGAGACACAGGCAGAGGGAGAAGCAGGCTCCCCCATGCAGGGAGCCTGATGTGGGACTCGATCCCGGGTCTTCAGGATCACACTGCAGGCTGAAGGCAGCGCTAAACCGCTGGGCCACCGGGGCTACCCTGAAGGATTTTTTTTAAAAAAAAATACTACCATTATTAATTACATTAGAAAAGTTTCTAGTCTTATTGAAAAAAAAAAGCAAATTGGCTACTGTCATTTTTTAAAAGTTGTCTGCAGGAATTTTTAATCATTAAAAAATAATGGAAATAGTATAATTTTTCTGCTCCCAAGCTCATATGTTAATGAGAAAAGACAAATCAGAATTAAAAAATACAAAATGATCAGACTATGATTAGTGACATTTGGGAAAGGAACACAGAGACGCAGTAACAAATTACTGCATTGTGGCTAGAAGTTGGTGGTGCAGTGGCAGGGCCTCCTGAAGAAAGAATATCTGAGATGAAATGTGGATGAAAAATTTTTAAAGGGGCCATCTATGAAAGGTCAGGAAAGAGAAAAGTTCAGGGAGAATGTATAGCTAATGAGTAAGTATGTTTACCATTATCATTTTATTTTATTCAATTTTTAAGATTTCATTTGAGAGACAGAGAGAGAGAGCAAGAGAGTATGAGCAACCAGGGAAAGGAAGCAGGGGGAGAGGGAGAAGCAGACTCCCAAATGAGCAGGTTCCAGGACCCTGAAACCATGACCTGAGCTGAAGGCAGACGCTTAACCAACTGAGCCACCAAGGTGCCCCTTACTTTTCATTTTAAATGTTCAGAGAGAGAGAAACAGCTAATTAATAGATTGTTTAGGGTCTTTTAGGCCATGGTACAAAGTGTGATGGGAAGTGAATAGGTAATGAATCAAAGGGGTAACATTATCAGATCCCAGTTCAGAGGTCACTCCGCTTGCCACCTGAAGAATGGATTCTCTACCCATCAGAAAAGGTGTTACTGTAGGAATCCAAGTGAAGAATGATGGTGGCTGGGCTTAAGTAACTTAAGTGAAAATAGGAATGTAAAGCTTCAGGGTGTGTCCTGGAGGTAGAGTGGATATGGGGGTGAGGGTGAGGGAAGAAGCAACAAGGCTATTTCCCAGATTTGGGCCTTGAACAACTGAGTGAAGTAGACTTAGTGAGATGGGGAAAACTGGTGGAAATATGGCGGAGGTACTCCAGATCTCTTTGGCCATTAAACCTTGACTGCCTGTTAAACACTCACATAAAGATGTCAGCCTCAATGAGCTGCAGTCCGGGGAAGAAGCCAGGGCTACAGTATAAACTTTGGGAGACTTCTGGCTAAGATCATGTTGGCAATGAGGGTAGCTAGAGAAGAAAGAGGGTCAGAACCAGTTCTAGACATTCCACCATTTTAAATATTGGGCAGAAGCAGAATGGAAACCAGCCGAAGAAAATATTTTAGGAAGGGAGAGGGAAATTGTGTTGGAGACTACTGAAAAGTCAAAGAGGTTAAAAATCAAAGATAACCATTAGTTTTGGAACTTGAATGTCACTAGTCACCTTAGCGTGAACAGTGTCAGCCTGGTGTGTGTTAGTTGAGAAAGACATGATGTGAGGAGGTGAACAATTTTTTCAAGGAGTTTTAACGTGAAACATGGAAGAGAAGATAGGCATAGGAAATAGAGGTAGATGTGGATTCAAGGGAGGTTTTTTAAAAAATATATATAGTAAATAGCAGAATGTGCTTATATGCCACTGGCAAGAGTGAATGAGCCACTGGCAAGAGTGATTCTGCAGAGGAGAGAGGGATCTTGAGAAAGTGAAAAGTGACTGAATCCAAATAAGAAATGCAGATTTAGGTTTTTCACAGAATCAGGTTCCAGATATACAGATATTATGAGAACATGAGTAAGGAGGACAGAAACTATGGGCCCAAATGAAGATGGCTAACATTTTTGGGGAATGTAGAACAAGAAAATTCCTGTCTCACAGCCTTTGGTGTGTGTTTTCAATGAAGTATGAGGGAAGAGTAGATGGGAGAGGACAGAAAGGTGGAAGGGAGGCCTGAAATAATAATTTTGAGGAGAGAAAAATATGCATTCAACAAAATACAGGATTGCTGGGTAGTTAGATTTTTGGCCGTAGACTGATAAAGTGAGAAAAATCAGCATGATGTGTATTATATACTTGAACATGTTTAGAAATTAGAAAAGAACACATAATACATAATATGTAATTAATATTCCAAATGCACCTGAAACTCACAGAATATAGGATAATAGAAACAATTCCTTATGAAGAGCCAAAGTAAGCAAAGGTAAACAGAAACACTGATCATTTGCTGATACTTAAAACATACTGAATACCAACCTTGATTCCCTTCAGGCTAGAAACGTGCTTAAAGGACCTGTTAGAAAAAGAGCACATAAATATTTGCAGTAAGTGCATAACACCTTAAAGATGTAAAAACAAGTTGACCATTACAAATAACCTTTCAACGATAAGCTGACATTTTATCATTATCATGTTAAATGTTCACTGTGCAACGCAAATGAGAAAAACAGCTAATTGTATAAAGTACTGACACTTTTGATTCCATGATCGAAGTTTCCTTAGTGGATCTGGTAAATTAAAATGGTTTCTGCATGAAGTGTGAGATTTTATCCTTCCTTTTAGATGAAAGAAAAAAAAAACTACTCAGGCTGAACACTGAGCTTTAGAATAAATTATTAGTTAGCCACAGTCGCAGTGCTTTAAGGGTTCCCACGTTGTTAAGGATTGATAATGTGGCAGGAAGAGTGTGGTCAGGGCCAGTCCCAGCCCACCACTCCTCCCACCAACCACATTCTGGATGCTTTGGTTTGAGACCAGCTGCTGCCACTGAAAAAGTTTAGGGCTTCTGAAGATAGGCTTGCTTTAACAATTCAAAATAATTTAACTTTGGGGGACAAAGTTTTTTTTTTTTAGATTTTATTTATTTGACAGAGAGAGAGAACACAAACGGGGAGCAGCAGAGGGAGAGGGAGAAGCAGACTTCTCATTGAGCAGGGAGCCTGGGGCTTTATCCCAAAACCCTGGGAACATGACCTGAACCGAAGGTAGATGCTCAACCACTGAGCCACTGGGTGCCCCAAAAGATTTTTTTAATTCAAAATTCATTTTAAGGAATTTAGAACTATAAGATGTGACTAAAGATGGCATTCCCATCCCATTTCAAATCACCCCAACAAGATAGCCAGAAATAGCTATGCAAACTCCATCTGCAATAGTATCAGGAGACACTGTAACTCTGAACCACAATATAAATATACATAAATGAAGATGGGTGTTAAATGAGGTGAAGGAAAGAATGGATACAGAATAAGGACATCACTGGTTGCATATCCCAAACAAAACTGCAGTGCTCCCTGAGAGGTCAAAACCTCCCCATGTTTGGAACAATGGGAAACAGGGTGCCGGGGCTGGTGACGGGAGCCTCACTCATCACCATGGATATCAGGGATATGAAAAAGAAAAAAGGAAACACGCAGTTCTGTTATTTTTGCAGGAAGCAGTATGTGGCTTCGTGCAGGGTGAAGTAGACTCTGAGATGTGGCAGTTAATGCCATCTTTTAGTAAGGAATAAGTAAAGGTTAAAATAGCTTGGAAATTCAACATTTTGTATTCCTATTGGCTTGGACCACTGCTCTGGCCACACCTCACACAAACTTCCCCCATGTAGTTGGTCCAGGAAGAACTGCTATAATTGGAAGATAAATAATCATTAAATGGAAGCTTCAGAGAATCTATACAAAAATACTCTGATAAAAAAGATTATTTGGGGCACCTGGGTGGCTCAGTGGTTGAGCATCTGCTTTTGGCTCAGGTCATGATCCTGAGGTCCTGGGATCGAGTCTCATATTAGGTTCCCTGCTTCTCCCTCTGTCTATGTCTCTACCTCTTGCTCTGTGTCTCTCATGAATACATAAATAAAATCTTAAAAAAAAAAAAAAGTTCTTTGACCGAAGATTCAAAATCATAAAATGTCAATGTTCCTTAATTTTATATAAGTTAAAACACCATGTCACTAAAAATATCCATAAAAATTTAAGAACTAGAAAATTGACTTTAAAGTTCAAATAATAAAATAAACAAAAATAGCCAGGAGAATTCAGAAAAAACACAGTCATGAGAGAACAGTTCCATCAATAATAAAAACATAATAAAACCAATGCAATTAGGGACGCCTGGGTGGCTCAGCAGTTGAGCAACTGCCTTCAGTCCAGGGTATGATCCTGGAGACTCGGGATCAAATCCCACATCGGGATCCTCTGCGTGGAGCCTGCTTCTCCCTCTGCCTGTGTCTCTGCCTCTTTCTCTCTGTGTCTCTCATGAATGAATAAATAAAATATTAAAAAAAAAACCCACTGCAATTAAAGGAATCTGGTGTACATGAGTAGACAGATAAATCAATAGAACAGAATGGAGGCTAAAAATAAAACCATATATACATGTAATTTAGTATTTAATAAAGATGAAATATCAGTGGGAAAAATACAACATTCAATAGATGCTTTGGGCACAACTGAGAGACACTGGAAAATATAAAGTTGGCCTTTATTTCACTAATTGAAATAAAATAAGCTCCAGGTGAATCACAGTTGTAAATATACAAAAAAAGACCAAAAAAAAAAAAAAACCCATAAATTTGAGAGGCAAACATGGAAGAATTTTGTTGTATTCTGCAGGAAAGGCTTTTTCAATGACTCAAAATCTGAAGGCCATTAAAAAAAATTCTAAATTTGACTGCAAAGAAAAAGTTTGACATTTTTGCACAGTCTAAAAAAAACTTAAGAAAATCCAATGAAAAATACTGAATTGGGAAAAGACTTGCAACACTTATCTCAGAAAAGAGCCCTTTATATAAAGAGCCCCCAGAAGTCAATTAGGAAAAGCAGTTGGGAAGAGCAGAAGACATGAACAAGCAGTTCATGGGAAAATAGAAATCTCTCTTAAATATATATGAAACAATGTTCAATTAACAATAAGAAATTTTCAAATAAAAACTATAATGTGAGGTGGCTCAGTCGGTTACGTGTCTGCCTTTGGCTCAGGTCATGATTTCAGGGTCCTGGGATGGAGCCCCACATGGGACTCCCTGCTCAGCGGGGAGTCTACTTCTCCCTCTGCCTCTCTCCTCCCCCTGCTTATACTCTTTCTTAAATACATAAATACAAATCTTAAAAAAAAAAAAAAAACAGAAGCAACAACAACAAAAAAGCTACAATGTGATACCATTAGATTTACAAAAGCATCAAATGTTAGGTAAATGCTGTGCTGGTGAGGAGCAGAGACTTCTGCACACTGTTGGTGGGAATTTGGTTTGGTATAAACTTTAAGGAGAGTGGCTAACAATACATATTAAAATAAAAATCACACACCCTCCTGATGTAACCAACTTTCTTCCAATTATACTCACTTGTATACTATGTATATATATATATATATATATATATATACACAAATATAATCACTGAAGTATTGTTTGCAGTAGCATAAGATTCAATCTAAATGTCTATTTATAGAATATAAATTGACAGATATATATTAGTAAAACTATTCAATAGAAAATGAAACAATCATGAAAAAGAGTGAGCCGGGAATATACACACTGGATGATCTCCGCAATCAGTCATTTGTTTAGCATCTATCATTTGTTTGTAAAAATAATTAGGATATGTAATACACATATATAAGCCTAAACACGTGTATGTGATTTTATGCAGAGAATAGCTCAGGAAACAGTAACATAGTTATGTCTGAGAAGAGATCTGGGTGGCCAGAGACCTATAGTAGCAGTGATTGTTTAATACTAATATTTTTTGCATTATGTTTGTGTATTACCAATTTTTAAATATTAATGTTAAAAATTCAACTGCATATATTACTGAATAACAACTTTATTTTTTATTTGCATTTCTAATGTTATAAAGTTAAAAGTATAAAAGAAATCATTAAAATTCAGTATTTATATGTCAAAGTCTGGCCGAATACTGACAAATATTTAAGATGATATGCTTGAGACTTACAATTTTGCATCTTCTCTGTAATCATCCAGGCCCTCATCATAGGATTTTGATCTTTCGGTCTTTGAGCTGGGCTGGGCATCGAGGCTGGGAGGTCCGACAGATTCTGTAATTAAAAGCCAACATTTAGACATTTGCAAGTGGTTTCCAGATCCTTTTAATAGTGAGATCAGTTTGTCATAGCATTCTAAGTGAAAAACTGAGAAAGAGAGATGGTTTGCATAGCCACTCACTGAAACGTACCCTGGTCATGGGAGAGCTGGCGACGAATTAAAGGAGCCGATGTGGTGAGGCTGGGTGGGACCATTGCTATGGAGGGTGCCTGGGGTGCCTGAGGTGCCTGGGGGGTGGAGGCTGAGATGACAGCAGAAGCAGGGATGTGTGCAAGGTCATGATCAATGCTAGGGCTTGTTGGTTCATCTAGAAAATAAAATGAAAATAAATATTAGAGGGATGCCTGGCTGGCTCAGTTGGTAGAGCATGGGACTCTTCATCTCGGGGTTGTGAATTCAAGCCCCACACTGGGCTTAGAGCTTACTTAAAAAAAAAAAAAATTCAGAAAAAAGATAATAGGTATCAGAATGCCAAATGGCCTAATTATTAATAATCAATATTCACTATTTCTTAAAAAAAACAGATTTAGATTTTAACACTTACCCACTAAGGCACCAATAAATAATAAAAATCTTATATAGTTATTACTCCAGTAATTCCAAATAATTCTGAGAATGTGGTCTAAGAAATTAAATAAGTTGCTTCTTCTACCAAACAATTAATACTGATTAACTGATAATCAAGATACTAAAGTTTATAGGCATTGAGAACCTGAACCTATAAAAGTGGAATGATAATCTTGTACCACCCTAAAAGAATTATTTTCCCAATTTTAAATGTCTTACACATCATTTCAGGAAGTTAAGCAAGTAACTTGGCTGAGGCTTAACTTTCAGAGTATCAAGTCCTAGAACCTCCCCATGCACGAACTCACAAGTATCTCTTCAATTTTTGAAGAAAAATGAGAAAGGACAATTTATGGCTTCCAGAAAAAGTTTATACATTATGAAGACCACTGCTATAGATGAAATGTTTGTGTTCCTCCCAAAATTCATGTTGAAACCTAATCCCTAATGTGACAGAATTTGATGGTGGGGTTTCGGGAGCTGATTAAGTCAGGAGGTGGGAGCCCTTATGGATGGAATTAGCACCCTTACAAAAGAAGTAGCCTGAAAGAGCTCCCTTGACCCTTCTTCCATATGAGGATACAACTTCCATAAACCAAGAATCAGGACCTCGCCAGCTACCAAGTCTGCTGGTGCCTTGATGTTGGACTTCTAGCCTTTGGAACCATGAGAAATAAATGGTTATTGTTTAAGCCACCCGGACGTCGTATTTAGTGGCCCGAATGGACTGAGAGAGCCACTGGTGGTTTGTTTGGCACTTTCATGCAAATCAGAAATAGGTGCCGTCTTCCCCAACCAAATGTAGGCCCGGGCCTAGAGGAAAAATCCCCATTTGCCCCCTGGTATCCTTGTAGAAACATAGATATTTTAGGTGTTACAAATTTTAACTTTCTTAAAAGCCTGTCACTACCTGTCAAGAGCAGAAATGCATATAGGAATGCATATGCATGCATGCACAGTAACAATAGCTAACACATTTATAGAGCTTAGGAAGTACTAGCATCATTCTAAATACTTAAAATATATTTTCCACTTAATTCTTATGAAATTCTATGAAGTAAGTACTATTTTGCAGATAAAGAAGTCAAAACAAACAGGTTAAATAACTTGTGTAAAGTTACCAAGCAACAGGGACACAATGTAGACCCAGAGAGTCTGACACCAGAATTTATGCTCTAAAAGTATAAATTATATTTTTGCTCTAAAAGTACAAATGATATTTGTTTTCCAAATTGGTGAGTGATAGCTCTGTTCAAAATTCTTATTCTTATAAAAACATCAATGATTTAAATTCTTATTTTCTAGGGGAGTAGAGTATAATTTAATAGAATGCCAGAACTATATTTCCTAAAATCAAATGCTCTAAGTCTTAGAAAATCATAACAAGGGGCACCTGAGTGGCTTAGTGGCTGAGCATCTACCTTTGGCTCAGGGCATGATCCTGGGGTCCTGGGATCAAGTGCTGCATCAGGCTCCCTGCAGGGAGCCTGCTTCTCCCTCTCCCTATGTCTCTGCCTCTCTGTATCTGTCATGAATAAATAAATAAAATATTAAAAAAAGAAATCATAACAAAACCCTTTATAAAGAATATCCTATAATGATAAGACAGGGTTTTGATTTCTTGATTTAAAAGATCAAACTATTTTTTTAAAGATTTATTTATTTATTTATGATAGACAGAGAGAGAGAGAGAGAGAGAGAGGCAGAGACACGGGAGGAGGGAGAAGCAGGCTCCATGCCGGGAGCCCGACGTGGGACTCGATCCCGGGAGTCCAGGACCAGCGCCCTGAGCTAAAGGCAGGCACTACACCGCTGAGCCACCCAGGGATCCCCAAGATCAAACTATTTTAATTTTGACCAAAATCTAAGGCTGCTCTATCATTTTAATGGTTAGCATTTTAATCAAGGTGACTAGTAATGATGCAAAATTATAACATTTATAGCTAAAATCTGTAAATTCTGACTATCTTATTTTATGTTTTTACAAAGTCTTTAAAAGCAGCTCTTTATATTTAAGCAATAGAAAACATTTTTAATGGATGCCTGGGTGACTCAGTGGTTGAGTGTCTGCCTTCGGCTCAGGGCATGATCCCAAGGTCCTAGGATCGAGTCCCGCATCGGGCTCCCTGTGGGAAGCCTGCTTCTCCCTCTATCTATGTCTCTGCCTCTCTCTGTGTGTCTCTCATGAATAAATAAATAAAATCTTGGGGGGAAAAAAGGCATTTAAAAAAATTTCACTATGAATCAAGTTTACTAAGTATATAATATCATATGTTGGTGAGCATGCAATTATTCTTTTTTCAAAAGCAAGAAGATAACTGACTTTATATCTATTGAATAAAGATAAAAATTTAATTTTACTAAAGATTATAGTGTTCTTTAAAACTATCATTATGATTTAAATTATCACAAATTAACCAACTTTTCCAAATGATACATGTGTATGAAGTCAGTTGGGTCTTATGGGGTCTGCTTGGGCCACTAATCTGTTATGGATTCAGAAGCATGGATATGAATAGGAAAATACCATATTCTTGAGAAATTATCTGATGTGTGTAGCACAGAGAGTATTAACAGCAGGAAAAGGCTTCTGTAGAGAAAACATTCACAACTGTAGTGTGCAATACATGTGTCAAAGAGTGTCTAGGAGATGCCATGGGATAAATCTTTCAAGAAAATTTTAGGCCTTCCAAAGTAATTTTAAAAATATTTGTATTTATTTATTTAAAATTAAGTATCACAGAGTGAAATTCAAAATGTTCATGATTAAGCATTAAACAAAATTTCAAAGGCAATTTTTTTTATGACTCTTGACTTCCTAGAGGTATGCATTCAATTTCTTTTGACTTACTGCATTTTGGAGGAAATTTCTTTATTTCACTGGGTTGAATTCATCTCTGCTTTAAGTGGATGTGTGCAAAAAGGCCTGGGATAGACAGCGACCTGCTCCAGGAAGCAAGGGTGAATGGAGGTCTGGGCAGGAGGCTAGCACCCTGGGCTCCCAAGCTTCAGTCCTGTTGCACTCTTTAGAATAAATATATTTACTACTATGTTAAAGACAGACAAGGAAGAGCTAGATATACTTTTTAAAATACAAAGAATTACATTACTTCACATTTATGAATTGTACTTTAATAAATCCAATTCTTCATTCCTTGTAAAAATGTGAGAACTTTTCTATTGTGTTAAAAGTACCATTGCTGTTGTAATGATTAGTTGGAATTTTAAAATTCTAATGTTAACACATGCTTTCATTCATTATTCATTCATGCACATTCATTATTACCTATGGGTAGATTACGTACAAACAAGAATAATTTAGGCTTATCTCCTTTTCCAATATAAGAAAATGAGTACTATTTAGTTGTCCAAAGAGAAAACAAGTGTGTGGTCAGATTTTCAACTGATTTCTATATTTTTATTTTATTTTATTTTATTTTTTATTATTTTTTTTAATTTTTTTTAATTTATTTATGATAGTCATACAGAGAGAGAGAGAGAGAGAGAGAGGCAGAGACACAGGCAGAGGGAGAAGCAGGCTCCATGCACCGGGAGCCCGATGTGGGATTCGATCCCAGGTCTCCAGGATCGCGCCCTGGGCCAAAGGCAGGCGCCAAACCGCTGCGCCACCCAGGGATCCCGATTTCTATATTTTTAATAGTCAAACTTAAATATTATGTCAGATGAAAATAATCATCTTTGTCAAGGTATGTCACATATTATGTTATGACATTAGGTAACACACACAGGACACACCACTATCAAGACTGTAAACTTGTTCTTATCAAGTGGCATAACCCCTCCTCATGGTAAACTTAACTACATAATCAAAGAACTGACTGAACATTGAGGCCTTAATTTACTTTATTCACTAACAGCCCCACAGCTCTTCACAATAAAGAAAAGGTGGAGAAGACACTGAAATTGAATATACTCAAATTCAAAGTGATCACTGATTCTTAATCTGTGAAAAAGACAGACCTAAATGTCCAAAAATTTTATTGGAAAATACTGTTTTCCAAAAATAGATAAATAACTAATTCCCTCAGGAAATATATACTCCATAATTCAATGTGGATTTTTTCCAAAGGGAGAATACTATAAGTTACTATGTTTAAACTGATTATTCAATCATTGTTATCTTTTATCAACTAAAATTCTGGGGGCACCTGGGTGGCCCAGTAGGTTAAATGACTACCTTCGGCTCAGATCATGATCCCAGGGTCCCGGGTTCAAGCCCCACATCACCCTAGCTCCATGCTCAGCAGGGAGCCTGCTTCTCCCTCTGCCTCTTTCTGCCACTCCCCCTGCTTATGCTCTTTCTCTCTCTCTCTCTCTCAAGTAAGTAAATAAATAAATAAAATCTTTAAAAAATGGAATAAAATTCTAGAAGAACATCTGTAAGATTTCACACATCAAGAGAAACACAGGGGCGCTTCACTGGCATAGTTGGTTAAGTATCTGACTCTTGGTTTCGGCTCAGGTCATGATTTTAGGGTTCTGGGATCAAGCTCCGAGTTGGTCTCCATGGTCAGCAGGGAGTCTGCTTGGGATTTTCTCTCCCTCTGCCTCTCACCCCACTTCTCTTTCTCTCTCTCTCTCTCTCTAAAATAAATACATATTTTAAAAAAAGAAAAATGTAGACAGGTAAAAAATCAAGGAAGCATATGGTGAAACTTTACGTGTAACTCTTAGAATTAATTTTCAAACAACAAAGAAAAAAATGGAAGCCTTAATATA